AAGGTGGTTTGACATTTTTAAAATGGTGAACAGAAAGGAAGAAAATCCCACATAGAGCAAGTATTCTAATCAAGAGGAAAGAATTCTTTCAGCATCTACAAAAACCTAATGCGTCCTTTGATGGCGAGAGGTAGATTTCAAAAGTTTTAAGGTTCAGATGACGGTATTCCTGAATGTGAACCTAAAACACTGGGAGTTATAGTTGATTAAAAGTCTCGAAGTCCTAAGGAAAATGACTTTGATATCATAGTCCTACGGGATGGTTCCAAAGTGACTCACTAGTAAATCTTTTCACTCTTTTCCAAATAGTTTATGGTTATTTTAATGGTAAAAAAAAAAACAATAAATCACAGCAGTATTCAGTCTTTAATATCCTAGAGTTTTGCAATTTCTGTTTAGAATGTTCTTCCCTAGTTTGTCTGGTTAATGCCTGCTTATCCTTGAATAATCTTCAAAGACGTCTCCCCCGACTCCCAGTCTAGATTAGGTCCTCTTCCTATTAATTGCATGATCTCAGTAACATAATACGTATGAGAAGACTGATTAGAGTTCACCCAGATAGCTTTGTTATTATGTGACCTTGATTCAACTGCTTAATATAAATATTGACAACTAAAGATAATCTTATGAGTAACTGTGAGAAAAGTCATATTTGTTTTTATTAGTGCATGAAACGGTTTATTTCCAGAAGGCTCCCATACATTACTGTGAAGTTTGTTACCACCAGTAGAAAGTGGGACAACCATCACATAAGATTGCAGTCATACCTCTGTTGTGAGTTGCGTAACTGAGAGGAAAAGTCCTGAAGTGATGTTAATGTTAATACAGGTAATTACGAAGCTACTTTTGATGATGAGGACTGTGATTGTTCTTTAACAAAAAGTGGAAAAAACTGAGTAGATTCCATTATGAATGTGTATAAAGTTTTAATTGCTGGCCCTGAAAAATACGCTTTTATTAGTGAGAAAATGGTAATAGAACTTTATTTGAAGAAAGACTGCTTGGACATAAACCTGTGCTGATGAACAGATAGAGGGCGCTGAAAAAAATTTTGAAAAACACTGCTTATCAAGTGCTGCTCCAAAGTCCTGTCCCTGATGCATCATCAGATGTCTAATATCAGTCTGATGATAATAATCATGTCAACACTGGTGAATTCTATTCCTCAATGTCTTCAAGCATTCAGGTTTAATGAGTATTTAATGCATACATATATTTGTGTGTGTCGATCTTAGATTAAACCTGAATTGTGTTTTTTATTAAAGAAATAAAAAATACTGTAATATTTATAGTCAACAGTTACCCTGCCATTTCATTTAATGTTTTAGGATTACATAAATAAACACTATTTATAATCCTTGTTTATCTTCTTAGAGTTTGAGTGTTCATATATTTCTTTACATAAACTTTAATGTGTGTGATAACAGATTTCGGCTTAGACTCTACTTGAGGTTATGCATGCATATATTACCTTTCCAAAACCTTAATCACTTTTGCATTCTAAATTGCTAGTCTGATTGTATCAGTTGTAAATTGCTGTGCTACAAAACATCCCCAAAATTTGCAGCTTAACAAAATTCATCCATGAACTCACAACATGTGGGTCAGCAATTTGGGTTAGGCTCAACTGGGCAGAATTTCTGTTGGTCTTGCCTTAACTCACTAATGCGATTTTATAATCTGGTGGCTGCAATGAGGCTGGATGATATAGAATGACCTACATTTTGGTGACTGGCTGTCTTTCATTTGATTCTCCACCATATGCATCTTCAGCAAGCTCCATGAAGCTTGTTCACATGGTGTGTGCTTTCTAAAAAGGCAAGAGTAGAAACTGCAAGGCATCTTAAGGTCAAGGCTGGGAGGTTGCTTAGCATCATTTTCATTACATTCTACAGTCAAAGCAAATCACAAGACATCCAGCTGAAGAAGTGGGGAAATAGACTCTGTCCCTTCATGGGTGGAGCTGCAAAGATTTTGCAGCATTTTATAGCTACCACAGTGATATTATCCATACAGGATTATGAACCTGCTTTTACACAAGAGGGCAAATGTCAAAACTATCAAGGAAAAAAAGTCCTGTTTCTACTGGAGTGTCTAATTCTGAGAATGAGTTTTGATTCTCTAACATAATGAATGATAGAAGATAAGGGAAAACACCAGGAGTGAGGTATTAAATAAGTGATTTAAACAAGGAGGAACATTGTTAAAAATCTATAGCAATCACCAAGAGAATGGAGAAATGGAAGTGAAAGTAAATAGAAAGGACAGTGTTATAGGGCCGTGTGAATAGGGTGTTTAGTGGGGTAGTTTCCACCTTGGTAAGACTGCTTTGTGGTTTTTGAGCTTTAAGTGAATATAGATGCCCAGGAGCTATTCTCCTGGGAAAAACAAGTGTCAAAGGAAAAAGACAAAGCAATGGAAATGGAGGGAATGTTTATGAAGGGGGTGAAAGTTATATTCATCAATTATTTAAAGTGGAGCAGAAGACACAGTGGAAAAAGTTCAAAGAGGGTTCGATGTAACAAAAGAAAGGTGAGTCTATGTTCAGGTATTTTGAAGGAAACTATCTGAGCTTGAGAATATTTGATACAATTATTTTTTAAAAAAACCTCATTTTTTTAATGAGTGACATGGCTCTAGCTGTTGATCATGATCAACAAAGGATATGAGACCTTGGGGAAAATTTTTGTTCGGATAATAAAGAAAGGGCAATTAAGACATCATTGTACAAAAATAAATCAACTCAATGACCTGGCATCTTAGACCTGGCAACATATCAAAAAGGAATAATAAATATTAATCTACTTTTGTACAAGGACGACTTGCATTTAATTCTGAGCTACTATAGTTTCGGAGATCCCAGGGTAAGAACACACTGATGCTGGAAAAAGACTTAAGTTGAAGAGGAAAGGGGGAGGTGGCTGCCATTCTAAGGATGTCTGGAAAGAGTTACACCTTTTCCCCTGTGACCGGATTATTGTACCCGTGTGTCTCAGGCTGAGCCAAATACCTGAAAGTCACCTTTCAGTTTCCTCTTTCCTTCCACCTCACATGCAGTTCATCAGTTAAAAAAAAAAATTGTTTCTTACAGAGAAGACCAGAGAGAATCTTGAGAAAGATTCTTCCCTAAAACAAGCAGGGAAGGGGGAGTAGCTACTCCTGGAGGAGGGACTTAAAACTCCTCCTGGACCCTTCTCTCTTATTCCTTTATGGAACAAAAGCCCTAAACTCTGTATTTGGGAATAATATGGCAACCAGCTCTCACTCTAAGGACACTGTAGAAAGCCCAGTGCAGCTGAACGAAGGTGTGGGTTTTGGCCAGCAAAGCCCATGGCAGAAGAAAGAATTACTTGAGACTTTGTCAAGTCAAGAGAGATGAGAGAGAGCCGGAGACCAGCTCCCTGAGACCCCCTTAGACTCTCAAATTTATTGAGCACAATCTTCAAACAATCAGAGTGACATATATCATGGGAATTTGAACAAAGTAAGGCATCAGTCATAAATCTTAAGCAATTTAAATAAAAGGTTAAACTGTTCTAGGTTACGACATGCTAAGAGATAATGAAAGGGCAGGGAAGCGTAGGAATCTCATGAATCAGAGACAGCCTGTTCTAGACGAGCAAAGCATGCCCAGCTAATTTCAGCAATGTGGTCCTACAACTTGCTAACCCATGATTGTGCTCCCACACAAAGGTAAGATAAAAACTCTGTAAACATGGATAAAGGGCAAGAGTACATGGCAGGAAGCCCTAGACTAGAACAAGAGGAAGGTAAACAGGACTTGTGCTGGCCCATCGCTGACTGGCACCTCCCTAACTTGGAAGCTAAATCAGAGAAGGACTCCTCCTCCCTTAACCTCCACCAGACCAACAGTGGCAAGGAAAACAAGAGTGAGATACTCTGGGAAAGAGACAAAGAGAGAGACTCAACCTGAAGCGTATGCTAAAATCTAAAGATAAAGGCAGGGAAGATCTTTTTTTTAAATCTTCTGGCAAAGCAGGCCCCAGTATAAAACACAAGGCATCATTAGAGTAATTTGAAGTCTCTAGTTCACTTACTGTGATCATAGCAACCAAACAAATACCACACTGTGCTCAACCAGATTTACAGCCCTCTACACTACAGGCTTAATGCAAGGAAAGGTATGCCCAGATCCAAGCAAAAACTGGTAACTATTCAATAGTTTCAGCTATTCATCTCAAGGACTACTTGTCATTTTCTAGCTTTGGTGTTTTTTTGCCCTGAGTTAATCACCCTTGTCATTTAACTGTAGATTGGGAACTTTGAGAGCCAAGTACACAGATGACAGCCAAGTGCCAACCTTTCAAGCAGATTTTTCTAATGATACCAATCTCAGGCTTGCTATAAATTCTTTTCTGCAAAGATCAGTAAATGCTCATATCTTTATATTTCTAGATGAATAAGGTCAAGATAGATGTGTAGGAGTGTACTTTAATAGGCATAAAAACACAATGTGAATATAGTAGCAGTTTCTGAAAGTGTTCAAAATATTGACTCATTCAACATTAAAATTTTCAACAGCTGTTTTTCAATTATCATGTGAATAGCAAACTATATTGATGATGTTATTAAACAAGGGAAGTACCCTAATTTATTTCATCATTTTCTTTATTTTTTAAATTGAAATATAGTTAATTTACAATATTATATTAGTTTCAGGTGTATGACATTGTGATTCAACATTTTATTAGATTATACTCCATTTAAAGTTATTACAAAATAATAGACTTATTTTATGTATGTATTTATATGTACTGTGCTGTACAATATATCCTTGTCCATTATTTATTTTACAAGTAGTAGTTTGTAGCTCTTAATCCCTTACCCCTAACTCCTCCCCTTGTCTCCCCTCTATCTCTGGTAACCACTAGTTTCTTCTCAATTCTTGAGAAAGCAGCCTGCTTTCATTGGTTAGGCTGTCCCTAGGCGCAAGAACAGTGTTGCTATGCCAGTGTAGAAGCAAATACCATGACTTCTTCCTCCATTTCCCAATAAAAGCCCTGTCACAACCTCAACCCTTAGCTCTGGCGTGATGGCTTTCCTTCACCCTTGGGCCTGTGTGCTAGTCAGCTGCATTTCTGTTTCTTTAGTAGGAGCGTTCAATCTCTCAGATCTGTATCCTCCACTGTGGAATGAGAGTCCTGGTCAGTTCAGTGACTACAGGGTGGAGAATGGAAAGCACATTATCGATCCCTGGGTGTACCCTGAGAGAATGGGGATGTATAAAATCCTCATGAACAAGACAGCCAGTTATTTTGAAAAATTTGCACCAGATAATGAACAAAATATTTTATGGGGATTGCCTTTGCAGCATGGCTGGCAATATACTACAGGTAAGAACGACTCTTGTTTTCATTCCAGTATAGCCAGGTTGTAACTGGGACTGGGACTCTGTGCATATCAGACTATGTTCTGAGAAACTGATTAGTTTACTTTTCCTCTTTTCTCCCATTACCATTATTTTTCTACTTCTCTTTTTCTTCCATAAATCCTTCTTTTGTGTGTTGCCTGTTTTGACTAGAAACTGCAATGGGACATATGGCATAGATGTTGAACAAAAGAGACTTCATATCTAACCTACTGGGCATCCTGCAAATATTTATTGAACTCCTACCAGGTGCCAGTCTTCATTCTAAGCACTGGGCAGAACAAAACTGTCGAGAAGATAAGCATTAAAGAACAGAAGATGATGTCAAATTAGTTGGAATGTCTTAAAGTTCCACTTGTGTTTACCTGTACATGGAAATGGAGACAGGCAAGGAGTGGCACCTTGTTCATGAGGCTGTTTCTCTGCAAATGGTTGCTTCCCTTGGAAAGTAAAGTGCACTCTAGGCTTTAGTTAGAATTTATGTTGCGGCAAAAGATTCATGAGTTACAGGATATTTAGGCTGACAGAGAAGCTCATGAAAGAGAGTAGTGTCTCCTTCATTCCACACTGATAACACCACCAATAAGTAAGTTTGTTCTATTCCGATGGAAAACACATAGGGAGAAGATTAAGGTTTATCTGAGGTCTGAGTAGGGGTCACGTACAGGAGCTACTGGAGATGGCCACTCATCCACGTTTGTCAGGGGATGTCTTGAGACTCAGACTGACTCCTATTTTATCCAACGTCCCTCAGAATTGGAAAGATCGAGGTCCAGGAGACATCATTAATATATAGTCCACTGTGGGGGACATGCCAGTCTCAGGGGGCCTGGAGGCCAGCAGTAGATGGAGGCTGAGTGGGCTGATAGATTAATACCCTTCTTACTCTTTCATTACACTCACATATCATGATTAAGCCTGACTAAACTCATCTAATAATGGGCTTAGATGTTTCCAGCATTTTCTAAAAGCAGCTCTGGGGTTGGGGTAGATAAGTATTTGAGACAGTTTTCTTGTCATCAAAGGTGTTACAACACAATTGAAACAGAAAACAATAAATAACAACTCAAGTAAAAGTTAGAAGTGCAAAACAGGGGACACAGTAGAGTCAGCTGGAGTAATCAGATAAAAAAATGGATTTGAACTGAGACTTGAAATGTGGGCAGAATTTCACTGGGGAAAAAAGAAATGAAATCTATTAGAGAATAAAAGAATGAATGGAAACTGGTTCTCAGGCGTGGCTGCATCTTGAAAATAATTACCTAGCTTTTAAAAAACATCAGTGCAGAGGTCCACCACCAGAAATTCTATTCTAATAATGTGGAAAATTAAGCTAAAGACTTGAGCTTGGAAATAGCATGGCATAGGTACACGTGATTGAGTATAGGGTATCGTTCTTTGTGTGTGTGTGTGTGTGCAGTCTGAGAAATACTCGGTTAGGAAAATTCACACTCCTAATATTCATGCAGGTTAACATATTCAACATTCTTTATCAATTATTGCTCTGAGAATGATCAGATTAGGAAGGCTGAGTGATGGAGAATAATGAGATGAAAAAGAAAAGAACTGAAGATATGAACGGAAAAGAGATGGCCAGAACTAGCAAAAGAAAGAAGGAAGGTGATGAAATTATAGAGAAATGGAAGGAAAAGAAGGGAAGTGCACAAGAAAAGGGGTAGAAACAAAAGTAGAAGATGCAACAGATGGGTCAGTAGAGGTGTGACAGCCAGGGAGCAACTGAAGAATCAAGGGAGAATGAATCTGATTTCTTCAGGCAGAAGTCAGGGAAAAGAGGACGTTAGCAGGAGTGGAGAGAAAAAATTGTAGATGAGTCCAGTAAAACACTGAAAAAGTGCAACAAAACAAAACAACTCTTCTGGGAGCATCAGCTGACAAGAGGAAGGAAATCAGAATCAGAAGGATGAACAAAAGATCAGAAAGAGGGATGGCAAAATGACACAAAATGAACATGAACAATCAGAGAGAGACTGAGAAAATATCAATTGTCATTTGTGAGGAAACGACTATACTCATTGGAAGAAACACTTTTCATGTTTTCTTTTATCACTTAACACAACCACCTTATGATGGTTGGTTATGATTAGTTAACATTAATATCCTCATTGTATAGATAAGGAAATTCAGGCATAAGTGATTATTTATTTAGCTAAAGTAAAGTTAGTAAATTACAGAGCAAGGATTTGATTTGGACTCCAGGTTTCTTTCAATCTGTATGCATATTGCTTCTCTAAGTTTGAAGGGAAGTAGAAAAAGGAGTTGAAGAGAAAATGGTTACAAAAGCAAATAATATTCAAAACAGATCATTCAAAAGTAGAATATTGCGGTGATGTTAGATAGAAGAAGAGAAATTGGTTCTGTGATGGGAAATGAAGAGTAAAGAGTGATAGGAAGAGAAACGAGTCATCAGAAGATAAATGTGTGTGCGTCTTTGCAAACAAAATGCACCTAGGTAAGCGACAATTATAACCAGTTTCAAAATGTGCATAATAAATAATCTATGCATACTCTCTTTTCCAGGCAGATTAGTTGATCCCAGAGGAAGGACAGAATGTGGCTATGAAACTGGAGATCATTTGTGCATCTCTGCGTACAGTTGGTGGGCTGGTATGTTCCTTTAAATAGCAAAATAAGTAATAACCTCCCTCCACCAAATTATTCAACCTGACATCTTAGGGACAGAGAAAAACAAAAGCAGCACTATTCCTTTGTAAAAAGGAACCTACTTCATCTTATACCTTGTGGGCTTTATGTCACATTCTAGGATTTAATGGCCACCATCTCAATAATGATTCCTTCCGACACGTTTCACACAGGGACTGGGAAAACGACCTGCAAAGGACAATGGCCTCTAGACAACTAGAACTGGCAGTCAGGTGGGAGGTCCCACTGGTCAGAAGAGAAGAGTCTCCAGGATGGGGAAGGATGAGAAATGAGAGAACAAGAAAATACTACTTTTTTCTCATTTTGCTCAGACTAAATGTGTTTCATTTTGTAACTCGTAAACATGTCAGAGATTAATCTACCACAAATCATTCTATCCATCAGTAATCTAAGGCCTCAGACAGACATTCAATACCAAAACAGCCAGAAAGTATTTTCTAATTCCTTAATTTTATTTTGTGTTTTAGTAGCAAAACTAATTTACACACAATTTCTTAGAGCTATTTCTCAATAATTAGAGACAAAAGCATATTAAGTTTTACTTTCTTGAAGTGACACATATGACACCCACCTTTGCATATTTTTCTCATGTGATACCAATTGATTTTTTTCAAAGACTCACAAGTAGTCTTGGCCACAAATCCAGAATTCAGGGTTCTCCTTTCTCAGATTGACTTTGTAGTTTGCAGTATCAGCCTGCTACACTGGGGGCGCAGGGCTGTGTTCACAAATGCATGTCTACAATAATAAATGTGTTTCACCAATGGGAATCAGTATAATAAGCTTTACAGCCTACTAAACCACAATGTCTCAATCTGCTAGAATAGGTTATATTTAGAGAGAAATTTTAAAAATCTTAAAATTATTTTCAGTTTAATTATCCAAAGATCTATTATCAACACTTATCTAACATTTTTGCTTTAAAGACCTAATATAAGACAATGACTTTGTGACATCATGGTTGTACATTAAACTTGGTTAAAGAAAATACAAAATATTAACACTATAACTGCATTAAGATAATTTAGGAAAAAATGTCACATTTCATGGTAAAACCTCAGTGGTGGTGTAGCATTCTGTGCATAAGTAGATACCTTTCTTCCATTTTTATATCATTCTGTGAAAGAATGAGTTATTACCAAATTCATTAAAACTACTTTTTGTTTTAAAATATTGTCATCAACTACTTTAACCCATATTCTTTTATGATTGTAGGGTTATTGACAGAAGCATGTTGCAGTTTTCTGTATGATCCTTAGGGAGATTTTCAAATTTTTTGCAGTTACTTTTTTTTCATATGTTTCTGAATCTTTGAGTTTTTGCTTAATGGTTTACAGATTCCTTAAAAACATCCTCTATCACATTATTTAGCGCTCATGACAATAGTAAGTATTTTGCTTTTACAGATATGAATTACTTTCTATCTGCATTACCCTTCCTTGGTGCGGTTGATTCTGGCATAATGGGGATATCATCAGATCAAGTAACGCTTTCACCACCACCCACGGATCAGACGAAGTTTTGTCTTGATGTTTCTAGTTGTCAGTCATCCTTTCCTCAGACAATGAGCAAGTGGAATACCTTTTACAAGGTGCTTTTGTTAAGTTTTATAACTTATTCTCTTAGGAGGTGGTAAGAGTTCGGGTTTTTTTGTATAATAGTTTTTGTTTAGTTTTTAATGTGTATTATACAGTATAAAAAATCTAAATTTTTATGGAAGTTATAGTAATATCATTACATTACAGCAGGGCGTTGCATGTCATTAACACCCTCTGAACCAACATAGCATTAACACAAAATCTATCCACTCACCTCACCCTAAATAAACCATATGTAAATGTGAGAGCAGACAGGTTATCTCACTGGATGAAAAGATGACTCTGGTAAATTGAACCTTCAGGTCAACTGAAGGATAACACTTGGGAGAACTATAATTATTCAGTTGGTTTTAGAACAGTCAGTTAACTTATTTCAACTGAATTGATCAGTGATCATAAACTGGTAGAATTAAACAATTATATGGCAATCAAAACTAAATATTCAATGACCAAAATAAAATACATTGTTTAAGCATAGACATGGGCCAAAATCAATGCAAAAAGATAGAGTTGCTAGTTCTATAAATTATTAGCTCATTATTTTAAGTATGATTAAATTAAATATTCTAGTATTTTTCATCTTTTCTTAATCTTAAACTTTTGTGGTAAGTTCAACTAAGGTAACAGAAGAACAATTGATAAACAAAAAATAACGTTCTCTTGGCCAGTATAAAATATGGACTTACGGGAAAACATGTGAAATTCATCTGTTTCATAAATGCATTTAATATTACTACTGACAATAGATCATTATTATAGTCTTTACAGGGTGTTAGTCACTGATGGCTTAAATTAATCCATAGAAAAAATTTCTCCTCTCATGTAGAATGTTGCTAAATTGTAAATGTGAACAAAATTAAACTGTAGGGAGAGAAATTGTTATAGCTGTTCAAACATTAATTTCTTCTCTTTGCTATAGCATTTGCAGTTAACGTCTAGTAGCTTTGATGACTTATTGAAGTACTTATGGGACGCACATACCTCAAGCTTGAAAGATGTCTACAAAGTTTTTGAAGATAGGTAATTTTTTGTCTTATTTATTGTTTTTTATCCTTCTACAGTGACTATCAATCTTCCTATTAAATATTATATTTAATCATCGAGGATTTTTATGAAAAGGTATAAATGTTTTAGTATGATCAGGCTTAAAATGTGTTTTATGAAGAATGGGCAAAAATTTGAGGGAAAAACCCTGTAACAACCTACCAGCTAACCAACCAACAAACAAAACATGCAACCAATTTGTCTCTAATGAAAAAAAACTATCTATGTTAATTTTATCATAGGCACATAATCTGATAGGCACATACTTGGGGCAAAAAATCAACTAGCATCAGGATTACCACACAAAATAGCCTAGAAGATTATCAAGCCACTCCACAGGCACACCTAGATGTGAAGCTGTAAAAATGATTTGTGCTAAGATGTGAATAGCACTGTATTAGTCAGTGTTCTCCAGAGATACAGGCCCATAGGCAATGATAGGTAGATACATAGATAGGTAGGTAGACAGATAGATATGCATTGTAAGGAATTGGCTCCTATGACTATGGAGGATGACAAATCCATAATTTGCAAAGCCAATGTCAAGTTTAAGCAAAAAGCCTGTAACTGCTGTAGTACCAGGAAGAGCCTACGTCCCAGTTTGAGAGCCATCAGGAAGGAGAATTCTCTCTTATTCACAGGAAGATTAACTTTTTGTCCTCTTCAGCCTTTCAACTGATTGAATGAGGCCCATCCACATAATGGAGGGCAAGCTGCTTTACTCAGTCTATTGCTTTAAATGTTAATATCTTCCAATAACACCCTCACTGAAGCACCCCAAATAATGTTTGACCAAATATCTGGGCACCCTGTGGCCCAGTCAAGTTGGTGCATGAAATCAACAATCATAGGCTCTGTCTAGGGGGTGGAGTCAACCAGCAAGAGTGACATATGGGATAGAAATCTGCATATAGTTTAAAACATGGACAGCAACAACAAAAAATCAGGGCTCATTGGTATTGTAAAAGTAAATTTGTAAATCCAGCAAGAATGTCGGGTACCTCTTAGACCATTCGTTGTTGTCTTGCTCACAGATGCCGTCATCCATCCAGTGAGGTAAATAAATAACCTGTTCACAGATTCACAGCATGTTTCCTCCCCTACTTATGGCTTCAACAACTTACTGGTATTAAGTTGGGCAATTCAAACAGCGATAAACTCAGTTTTCTCATCTTTGAACCTGTAATAATAACAGTACATGCTACATCGGATAATTTGGGGGATTAAATGATACATCAATTCATCGTGCTTAACATGCCTCTGGCACATAAGCAGCATTCAATATAAAGTAACTATTATCGTCACAACAAGAGTCAGTAGAGGGCAGTTGTGGAGAACATGAGCTTTTTGAAAGCCAAATTGCTAGAGTTTAAATCCTGACTCTGCAATTAGGAATGTGGCCCTGTATTGCATCCAGTTCTTCACACAGTCAACAGCCATTGAATGTCAGTGTCACATGGCAGTAAGCATTTATTGCTCACTGTCTGAGGCTTGGCTGGGCAGCTCTGCTGATCCTTCCTGAGCACACAGAGTGTTGGCTGATTTTGACTGGCTCCACGAGGTGGGTGGGGAAGCTTGGCTCTGCTCCACTTTTCTCTCCCTCTCCGTCAGGCAAGCCTGGGTGTTTTCCACTGTGATGACAGAATGGCAAGAGACTTGAGAAACCAAATGTGAAAATGCATGTTAAACTTATGGTGTGTCAAGTGGGCTAATATTGGCCAAATCAAATCTTATGGCTGAGCCAGGGGTGGGAAATTATACATCCTCTCTTCCCCTGCCATATTCCACTGTAGCAGGGAAGGGGCACTGGAAAATGACACGCCAAAAAAATAGAGAGGAGTGCTGAAGTCGTGACTAAGAAGAGCCAGGTGCTTGTAAGGAACTCTGCTGGGGAGACGCCAAGCCTGTACTTAACTAGGATTCGGGGTGATGAGTGCTCTAATGATACCATGTAGGGGAGCAGAGGACAGGGAATTGATTCTGGGGGACATAGAGAGTATTGAAGAATTGAGGCCCTATTTGCAGTCTGCTTCAGCCTGGGGACCTTCCTTGAAATCTCATGCATAGTTACTTTAGGTAAAAAATATACTAGGAGTTGTTTATTCACACGAGACAAAACTGAGCTCTGTGTAGTCTACATATACTTAAGTCAAACTCTGTGGTCCTGGATGGTCAGATTGGCTGGTACATGTCCATGGTTTATGTTTTTAAATGTTTCAAATTAAAATGAGCCTTTAAGGGTGTATTTTTCTTTCTCTTTGACCACATCTTAACTGACTTATTGGTTGAATTTTTCAATAACCCATTCAGCTGAACAACGTGAAAGGCTTCCATTAAATTCCACTTGTGCTCATATGCCCTCTGTGTCTTGACCTGGTGCCCTCATTCCTTTCCTCGTCTCCTCATGTTGCTGACTCCCTTGTAATTTGTTTAATCCACTGTTAATAGGGTTAGTTGGCCATTGGTCAAAATCCTTATGAATTCACATTGCTGTTACTCCTTAGTTCATTGTCAGCTGTGATGTGACTAAAGGCAATCAGCTGTGAATCCGAACCAGACTCTTCTCTCATCAAGCGTTCACTGTACCCAGTCTTCTACTTCTGGGTGTGGGAGGCAGGGAGAAGCCCATGTGTACGGGAGCCAAACACAGCAAGTTTTCTCCTCTGGCTTATGTTACGGATTAACACTGAGAAACATAATGCAAGCATTTTCTACTTATTAGACCCTCCATATGCACTGTACTGTGGAAACAGAGAAATTATAACATAACCTAATTTATAAAAATTTCAATATAATCTAGTGAGAAAACAAAATTTTTAATGTATGAGTGATATAGTGCTTTGGGAATATAGAGAAAGAGGAAATAGTTGATTCCACCTCAGCTGGGCTGGAGAAGTCTGTGAAGGAGGTGACATCTATGAGGAGACTTAAAAGAGAACATAGCTGGTGAGGAAGGCGTGGAGTAGACAACGTTTCAAGGGGAGTAACTGTCAAAACCTGCAAGTTCTTTTGCATGCTTAGACCAGAGGGGGACAGGAGCTGTGAATTATATAGTTATAAAACTATTTATTACACTCTTAACCTTTCCAGTGTAATAATTTGTTCCCTAAATAGGTGAGAGGGTTTGGCTACCGCGGAGGCTCCACTAGGAAAAAAGCACTTATTTGGAAAATCAGACAAGAACATCAGACATCTTTCTCTCTAGGATACTCAGTGTTTTGGGGCTTTCTGACTTCAAGAATTGTCGGAGCCAGCCGACAATCGATCAGGTCCAGAAACCTGTGCTACAGGACTGAGAAAAGAAAAGACGTAACAAAGAGACAACAAGACAAGAAAAGTTGGGGTTGAGAGGGTCTCACTCTAGCCCGCAAGACGCTGGGTCAAGAGTGGACGACGAGTTTATTTCTTGCAGTTAATTTATATGATTTTAACCCATTAGCTCATGCATTCCTGCCTGTAGGCAAAGGTATTGTTTTAAGGCGTGTACTAAAACCATTAACTTGTATATTGTTACAGACATCATTATTGTTTACAGTTCTTGTAAAACTAAGATTAAGAGTTCCTGGAACCAAGATGATAAGCTAAGACATTGTTCCTG